GTTACAAGAGCGTTGGTCGTCATTAATTTCCGCAATCGTTTGCGATAATCTCTTTACGAGGCGTCGATTTTTTTCGCGATTAGAGGGGAACGAAAATATTTTTTGAGAATTTTCGGGGGAGTCTTTCCGAAGGGTTGCGACGACGAGGGGTTCGTCCACCCCTGGAGAGGCCAACGCCCTCATTTTTCCCTCCCAGACACTGCCGAACCCTCGCAGAAACTCCAAAGCCCCTCGGAGATAATTGAATCCCAGAATAAACCCGCATAATCAAATTTTATAAATCGAAATTTAAGAATAAACGAAAAAGCGTTCATTTCTTTCGGGATTTTCCTTTCATTTTCGTCAAATAAAATTAATTCATCACAATATTTCCTTAAATTCTAGATTAGAAATAAATAACAATTTTTGTATTCCTCTGTTTCTTTTTTTTTGGCAAATAAAAATGTTTCAGTGATTGATAGTCATTTCACTGCCATTTTTACACTCTTAAATCCTCGAAAAAAATGCACAGCTCCAGATAAACCCCTAAAATGCGATTTTATCAATAGAAATTAAAGAAAAAATGGAAAAAAAGTTCATTTTTCTTGCAATTTCCTCTCATTTCGTCAACTAAAATTGATTCTCGACCCAAAATGACCTCCAGAATGGGGAATAAATAATAAATTTCAATTCTCCAGTTGCAAGTCGCATTTTTAAATGCAAAAAACCTCTCTAAGTAGTCGATACCGTCACTTCCTCCCACCTTTTGTCACAATTTCTTCCGCAAAAAACCCGGAAATCCTGAGGCAACAGTCCGCATACGAGAAATATCTGGTTATATCCGGTTACAACCGATACGAATGGAGGCGAAATCTCCCAGACGATTCCCCGGAGCAATCGCAACGCTTTCCCACCGCCCGAAAGACCAAAAATCCCAAGCCCAAGCCCCAACCAAACATTTCCCAAAATTAAATCCCTTCGACGATCTCAAAACGATTCGGTAAACACATGGGTCGAAAGCCGGCTGCTCCAAAACGCCCCCAAGACGCTTCCACCAGCTCCAAAAACTATTTCACCTCGCAAAACCCCCGGAAAACACCGTCACCCCCTCGGCCAAAAATCCTAACCCCAAAGGAACCCGAAAAAAAATTATTTTCCCCTCAACAAAAATTTTCTTTGTCCCTTTGTCTTCGGAATCCGCGAAAAAAATGATTTCCCACTTACTTGCTGGAGTTACGCCCGTCGATCATTCCCTTGAAGGTTCCAGTCGATGTCATGATAAAATTAATTAGTTAATAATACTCGTCGGACGATTTTCAGGTGAAATTTTGTTGAAACGTTGAGAATTCCGTGAGGAGACCGCAGGGAGTTGTAGACAGGAGCACACGAAACACACGACTCTTTTTAGCTAGGCTAAATCAAACAGTTTGGCCAATACGATTGGTAGGCTGACGGCTTTGGCACTGCGTGACGTCATGGCGGCTAGTCAACTGAGAGACTGAACTTGATTTCGCGAGGGACTGTGTGATTTTTATCGGTTGGAATTCAAGTGAAATTTCGTTTTTTAAGATGAGAATAATTAAAATTGTCGTTGAGAGAGTGTTGGAGGGTTTCTCGGGGTTTCTAGGGGGTTTTCGGGGGGCGAGATGACGGCGGGAAAGGACAATTTTTTGAATGACAGTTGGAGGCGCCCCCTGAGGTGAAGGGAAACAGTGATAAGTTTTTAGGGGATTGGGTATTGAGATCCGATCAATTAGCCCCTCATGTATAGATATTCCAAATTTTTATTTTTTTCCTCATTGAAGTAGTTTTGAAGAAAATTACGAGCTAATAAAAAACATTCGCTAATTAGTACTTTTTTTTAAATAAATTTTTGAAAAATCACCTCTGGAAAAAAGCCGTTATCCCCTCTATTTCATTATTTCTAAAAAAAAATTATGACCAATCGATAGCAAATTGTTTGAAGATTTTTGCGAGTGGAGAACAAATCGTCAATGCAATCCTATTATTGCGTAAATTAACAATTCCAATTTCAACTGAAAACCAGAGTTGATGACCAGAGTTTGTA